AATTCTCCAAATTTGGCTATCTAATATAGAATCACAAACAAACAAGCATTAATATTACATCTACAAGAAACAAAAAACGATGTTGATTCACCATTTTTGTTAGGCGAAACGATGGCGGTTTTATTCAAAATTCAAAACAAAAACGTTCCCACCTTATCAATTGCTACACACAGTCACACAATTAAACTGATCCCATAGTAATTTAAAAGAGCAGAGAAATCAGACCTGCAAGTCTCGCCAACTCTGGGATCAGTGTCGCCCAAGGCCTCGATCTGGATCTTCAATCCCTCCTCATAGCATTCAATGGACCGGTCCACCTGACCCAGCATTGAATACGTGTCCCCGAGCTGCATGTGCCCAGAGAACGCAGCGAGCGCGTGATCCGCACCTCTTCCGATCTCTGGCACCCGAATCGCCCGGTCCAGAACCGGAACCGCCTCCTCGAACCGGCCCAAGCTACAGTAAATCGCCGCCAGCACGTGCAAGCTCATTGCCAGGTCCAGACTCGGCTCGCCATCCACCGCGCACCGCTCGAACGACTTTGACGCCCGGACCGCATACTCCAACGCTTTGTTCGGTCCTTCCCCCGAGGCGATGGTGTCGCGAGCCAGCTTGAGCAGAAACGGGCCGAGATCCGGGTTGTCGAGGGAGGCATCGGCAAGAATCGGGTCCGGTGAAACGGGTTGAGGTTTTTTGGATCGGGCGGGCGAGGGTTTGGATCGGGAAGGGGACGGGGACGGCGGTTTTTTAGTGTGGGGCGAAGGGGTTTTGGAAACCGGGGCGGGTTCGGATCTTTGGGGCTGGGGATCCGGGACCGTGATTCGGATCGGGGCGGAGTCGGGCGGGGTTTTGACGGAGACTAAACCCGGCATCCTCGCTGAAGAAGAAGAAGAAGAAGCGATTGTGAAAAATGCAGAGAGAACTGGGATTTGATTAAGTGGGAGGTAATTAAGTTAATCGCGGATTAGAACTGGCCACCACGCCCAACAAACTGAGAGAGTGGGTGATTAATTAATTAATCTGGGAGTGATGTGATTAGGGGTTTAGAGAGAGAAAGTGAGGAGAGAGATAGAGAGAGAGGAGGGGGGGGGGACTGGATATTTGCAAGAGAAGTAGATGAGATGTCTCTCCAGACTGTGCTGGCAAAAGCGTGAAGGAGGTGGTTGGTCTGTTGGTTTCAGACTTTCAGTTTTCTTTTACCGCGGGGTGAAATGGTAATTTGGGATTTGACTTTGACTTGCCGGTGGCGGTTTCTTATTGGAGGCAAGCCAATGATTGTTACCGTTGTAGGAGACACGTGTTCTTGCATTACTGGTGTAAACTCATTTTCTTTTGTTTGTCAACCTCAAACAATTGTAAGAGAAAAAATTCAATCCACACTCTTGTATAAAACTGTGAACTTGCGCTTTTAGTATTTTGGATAATTTTTTTATTTAAATGTCAATAATATTTTTATATTTATAATTAGTCGCATATTTGTTGAATTTTTTCGTTAGTTGTGAGTACAGCGATTTGTGATACGATACATGCGCACATTTTAATCAGGTATATGATACATGCGCACATTTTTTTCATATCATGCACACAATTTCCTTTTCTCAGCTACTGTGTCAAAGAAATCAAAAGAAAATTATGAGTCGAAATCAAAAGAAAATTATGAGTCAAAATAAAAAATAGGTGCGTAAAAAGTAAAAAATATGTGCGAGAATCATTTTTCTATTTGCTAGTCGTCTTGCACTTGTAATTCATACCGTGGAATGCATATTAGTAATGAGAGTTGTCTGTTTAATTTGGTACTATTTGCAGGCAAAATCATAGAGCTCAATATAGCTTATCATGAAGATGTGCACTTTACTACTTTAAATACTTGAAACAATGCAATAAAAAGAAGGGTTAATTAGATTAAAAGTCAAGTGAAATACATGGTGTGATGACGCTCTTATTATACATGTAATATTTGCATTTATGCCCTCTCAAAACTCACAAATTAAAACTACTTGTAGTAGGGAGATGAAAGACAACAGAATTTGAATGGATTTCCTTGCACTTTTTGGTTGAGAGAAAAGAACATGGAAAATGAAACAATTATTATTTTGATTTTTATGCAAAATCTGACTCTTATGCTACATAATTAAGAGTCATCCACCAACATGTCCAAATTTGAGTGGTCTTTGGAAGTCCTGATAGCTACTATTATTCCGACTTCTGGTTGGTCTCGGGTCCCTTAATAGATCCGCCCATGCTTATGCATGCATATGTGGTCCAATTTATTTAATTTTATGCAAATGTGGATTCAAATATTCGTTAACCTATCATTAAAATGGCAGATGTACTTTATATACAGTACTTGCAAGCATATTAAGTTTCTAACATTTTATTCCAAAGAGACGTTTTGATCATGGGTTTTACAGTTTTACACCGAAAAGCATAAATCTATTTCACTCGTCAGAACATCATCACTCTCTCTATAGGGCCTAGGGTTTTTACAAGAGCTCATAACCCTAATTAGGCTGCAAAAGGAGGAGAAGGAGGAGGTGGATGTGGTTCATGACCTGGATCTGGCCCTGGCTCCGGGTAATCCAACATTGCATCGAGTGAAACGAGAAGCTTTCTCCCAACTTTCAACGTCTGATTAACCACCTAAACATGATTAAGAACATGTTCAATTAATTAATCAAATTAAATCACCAAATCACATAGTTTTGTCTGCATTGAGGGTGAGAGATGACCACCCATTATCAATCAAAAGTTCATGAAATTAAAATTCTAACCCTCTCACCATAATTAAACAAAAGTTAAAAAATATGGGCAACTTAGTAATTACATGCTGCATGAATCTGATGTTTTCTAAGCCATCCTCACAACCATGTAAACATAATGTCTTATTTAAAAATTAAATTAAAAAATAAGTGAATTTATTTTAACCTCTTTCAAGCACACTCGTAGGGGTGTGTACAGTTTGCTTGTATATAGTTTTGAGGGCTAACTACATTTCACACCCTCCATGTTTGGAATAATTTTCAAAATACGCCACAAGGTCTCAATGTTCTCACATTGACCTTAAGGTTCTGAAATTGTATATTTTACATCTTTTATCTACTGAATTATTTGAATCTTATTAAATGGTGACATTGTGAGCATGAAACCCGTAATTGGGTCAGCATGTAATCCACATTTGCACTAAAAATGACTAAAAAACCTCATCAATTTAACTGATAATTAGACGTTTAAATATTCAAAAGATGTAAATTGATACAATTTTCAAACCTTAGGGGCAATATGAAAAAATTAAAACCGCATGACCTATTTTAAAATCATCTCAAACCTTGACGATGTAAAATGTGATTTACCCTTGTTTTAATTTCACACCTCATAACCACTTGAGAAGGTGAGTTCCATTTCGTCCTTGAAGCTGTCAGCTCTGCCTACAAAGTAATAAAAAGAAGATGGTTCGATTTATTTCTAAATCAGATTCAGAAAACTTGTAACCAATGAGACTTGCAACCTTAAAAATCTTACTTACCCGAAACCGAAAAGTTAAAGAGCAAGAGGAGAATAAAAATCTTGACTTGAGGAAGCATCTTATGTTTTTTATGTTCTTCTGGCTAGTTCATTGTTTGGAGGAGGTGTGCACATGCAAGTGTTGCTTCTTATAATTAATGTGGGAGGAAATAAAGCCAAAAGAGGTTTTGGAGAAATTAACTAGTTAACATTTTGGTTTATATTTTTGTTAGGGTATCCTTTATGTATTAGACTTTTGTAGTCAATAAGATTTATGATTCATTACCTTTTTTTCTAAAAGAATTAGGATTGCTTTCCTAATTAATCTTCTACAAATTATAGAGTTAAAATTATTTTCCTATTTGCTTTATATTTAATTTGTTAATAAATACAATTTTTGTAACACAATAAATTTTTGTAAGTTGTAGTCTTTTTTTTTAGTACAAATTGTAGTCTTTTTTAGTTATATATGTATAATGAGATAAGGATTACAATGTCTTTCCTATTTTCTGAGACCGCGTTTGTTTGGGGAGTAATGAGGGTTTGGAATATCAATTTGCTTCCCTTTCCATCCAATTTGGTTGGTTGGATGGCTTGGAAAGGAAACAAACTGGAATTAATTCCGTTGGACTCGGTGGAATACAAGTATCGGAGGGAGACTAGGATTTCTTTTCCGTACTACTAATGGAATGTTAAATCATAGAAAGTAACCTCTCACATCTTTGTCTTCTCTCCTATTTCAAACCAAGTTCTTGAACCTCTTCTGTCAAGATTTGCAATTCTCAATTCAACCAAACCTATGCAGAAAATGTCAACTATCAAATCATCACCAGATTGGGTTAGACGTCGTCTTCCATTTGGAGTAGTTGGAGGCAAAATCATAGGGCTCATGAACAGCTTATCATGAAGAGTGTGCAGTTTACTTCTAATTTGAGTACTTGACACAATGCAATAAAAGAAGGGTTAATTAGATTAAAATTCAATTGAAATATATGATCTGTTGACGAGCTTATATATGTACAAAAAAAATTATGGGGATTTGGAGTATAGTTATTTAGAACTTTTTAACCGTTAGATTGGTTTTTGTGTTTTTAACCATATATTTAACATTTAAAAAGGCTGAACTGATACTCTTCAGTACAATAGAAAATACCGTTTATACACATCAACCATAATACCATATACAGTTATACACTGTGCAGAAGTAATGAAATTTACATTTTCTTTTTCATTTTTTGACTGCATGCAAACCCAGGAAAGCTGAACAAAGAAGCCGCAGCACATGGCAAACAAAGTTTAAAGAAAGAATTATATTTGGCTTCTCAAAAGAAAGAAATTCGGATGCAAGGACAAGTTGAAAAGGAGCCAAAAATCATGACAGCAGTACTTTCTATCAATGGCAGAATTCCAGAGACCAAAACAATAGTTTTAATGAAGTTTTGTACCTTTTTTTTCCTTTTTTCCCACACAATAAGGGCATGTTTGATAACCCCTTTCAGTACTTGCAAGCATATATATATTACTGAGTTTCTAACATTTTATTCCAATAATTTATACATTCATCACGGTAATTCACAGTTCCACACCCAAATATATAAAACAATCTCACTCCATATCACTAGTTCATAAGAAACACGTGCATCATCACTCTCTCTCTCACACACACTCACTCTAGGGTTTTCACAAGAGATCATACGGCTTCTAATAAAAGGAGGCGATCATCTAGTTATTCAGGGATTCCCACCTCTACCACCAGCATTCCCTCCTTTATGTGGTTCGTGACCTGGATTTGGCCCTGGCTCATGGTAATCCAACATTGCATCAAGTGAAATGAGCAGCTTTCTCCCAGCTTTTATCTTCTGCGGATTAACCACCTTATAAATATGATTAAGAACAAGATCAAACTAAATCCCTAAATCATACGGTTTGTTTGTATGATCAAATATCGATTATATAGTTTTAATTACCTCAAGCTCAGGACCACTTGAGTAAGTGAGCTCCATTCCATCCTTGAAGCTGTCAGCTGTGCCTACAGATTAATTAAAACAAAAGGGTTTGATTTATTTTCTAACTCAGCTTCAGAAAACTTGAAGCTAATGAATGATATTTGCAAATCTTACCCGAAACCGAAAAGTTGAAGAGCAAGAGGAGTATGATGCAAATCTTGACTTGAGGAAGCATCTTAGGGTTTGTATTTTCTTTCCCTAGCTTATTTTCTTTCCCTAGTTCAGTGCTTGGAGAAGTGCAGAAGTCTTGCTTTTTATAATTGTAAGTGGGAGGAAATGGAACCAAAAGAGAGGTAGAGTCATAATGACTCTTACACAAAAGCTTCTTGAATAATAATTTTTTCGAGTTCAAATCTTCTGCACCTATTTTTGCATGTGGCTTCTCTGTGACCTATTTACTTGAGTGAAACATAATTTAGAGAATGATAAGTTTCCAATCCAAAATGTATGGATAGAAATTTAACACTATATCCACTATGATATTGAACCATATGCACACATGTCCTTTTACTAACTTCAACTACAACTGTTAACTTGTCAATACCAAAAATAAAAAATAAATTAAATATTAAAAAAATATAAATAAACCCTAGCAGCCACCAGCATTCCCATTCCCGACGATAGCCACCATACCTCGCCGCCGTACTTCCTCTCATCTACATCGGCTAACAGGCCGTTTTCCTCTCTCAAAATTGCCGCACCATAATTAAGATTCAGATAGATATCGATCGAACCCATTACCGCCAAATCAAACAAAATCGTTGATGTTTACTCTCCCTCCTCTGCTAACCAGCGATGCAACCAAAGCAACCACATATTCTCAAACGGCTGCTCATTCGTCGCCTAAACGCACAGTCCACCACCACCCGCAGCCAGCCCAGCATCCTCTAGCGGCAAGTCCCACCCCCTTCTTCCTTGCAAATAAACCGCGTCATCTCACTTCCGTGGTATTCGCTCACGTGTACCTCTCCCTCTCTCTCTCTCTCTCTCTCTCTCTCTCTCTCTCTCTGTAACATCACGTCCCTCCCAGAACAAGACCCGAGAAAGTCTGTCTACAACATCACTAGTTCAAAAGCCAAACCAAAATCCCAGATATAAAATTATCTCAAAAGTTCCTAAAGTCTCAGTTTGGTTGATTAATTTCAAATTACTTGTGCTTAGACCATAAAAATCACGACCACCCAAATGGGCTCTTCATTCCTGCTTCTAGATCTCCTTTCTCAAATTTCAAATCTTAAGTCAAGCAAACCAAATCCCAAATTATTTATTATGGTTTGTGGTGGATCGGCGGCCCGAGAACTTAACGAACTCTCGATATGATATCTTCACGTGTCGACATCTCTTAGCCCTGGGAAAAAAAAATAGGTAGGATATTGGTTGTTACAGGCGGCGGGGCATGGTGGCTGTCGTCTGGGTTGGGGATGCTGGTGGCTGTCGTCGGGGTTGGGGATGCTGGTGGCTGTCATCGGGGTTGGGATGCTGGTGGCTGCTAGGGTTTATTTATATTTTCTTGAATAGTAAGTTTAATTTTTATTTTTGATATTGTCAAGTTACCTTACCAGTGTTAGTTGGAGTTAGTAGAAGGACATTTGTCAATCAAGTAGATATGTAACAGAGAAGCTACAAACAAAAAAATGGGTAATTTCAACTCAAATTTTTTATTGTATTCGAAATACATAATCATGTACTGTTGTTATGCAACTTACACTATAACACGTGAATTTGGTTTTTGATAAACATATTAATCATGTCATCCACCATTATAAATTATAACACGTGATGAGTACACCACGTGACTTGTGTTTCCAGCCCCTCATAAAAAATTTCTCTGATATAATTTTGAAAATTACTTACCAAACACAAAAGATATGAGTTTAGATATATACAATGCACCTTATCCCCCACCTCAAAGTCAACTCCACTCAAGTTCCTTAACATGAAATGCTTTGCTTCTTCTTTTATGTGACACACAATGCATTAGGATGGAATGTGTGGGACAAATACAACACATATGCTTGTGGGTTTTCTTCATCTTTTGGAATTTACTTCCCCTTTTGATATATCAAACTATTCATTAAGCTTCTAGCTTTAATTTGTGGGTCACTTTCAGGTGTTAGGTCTCGTTCCATACATATATCTAGTGTACCTTCTGGCAATTAGTTTATTTCATGAGCCCTGTTTGATATTAATTTGTCTTTTGGCTAAAAAAAGCCCACGTATATAAATTATATATTATAATAAAGATGTGACGATTAACTCAAGTTCTGTGCAATTAGTTTATTTCATGGGATTTGGATCCTCTCCTGAGCTAATGGAGAGAATCCTCCTGATCAAGTGTTATGGCCCGTTGGATTTTTATCCAACGATTACAAACAGATGTGTCCTTTTAAGTTATAATAATTATAACCGTTGGATGAAAATTCAACGGTTCATAACACTTGATCAGAAGGATCCTCTCCATTAGCTCAGGAGAGGATCCAAATCCTATTTCATGAGCCCTATTTGATATTAATTTGTCTTTTGGCTAAAAAAAAAGCCCACGTATACAAATTATATATTATAATAAAGATGTGACGATTAACTCAAGTTCTGTGCACCTTATGATGACGTTGCTGTTGATCATAGAGCATAAATTGGAGTTCCGTGTTAAAAGTATTTAGGACAAAGAAGGAGTATTGGTGCTTTTGTTCTAACTGATCACACTGTTCGTTACATCCGTCTCAGTACAATTTTGAAATTAGGGTTTATCCCTTTTGTTTGCTTCTTCGGTCTCTAATTTTTTTTTTCTCCCTCTTTTTGCAATAACCTGTAGAACCGACACCTATTGCCCTTTGCTCAACTTAATTATTCACATCTTATGAGCATGAGTCCTAAAAGGGTGGCACAAAAAATTCCCAAAACCATTTTTAATGAGGATTCATAGTTTAATTAATGAGTTAAGCTGGCTCCTGTTGCTTTTAAATTAATCACTTCCAATTAATTTAACGAGGGTTTTATTTTGATTATGCTGGCCCTTGCAGGAATGCTTTTAAATGGTTAAAATGATGAAGATTCCTTCAGATGTCGGGAAACATCATAACAATGGCCTACTTCCCAAACGCAAAAAGCTTTCCTGGAATTAACAATCCAATGCGCTCATCCCAGGAAACTGATAAGAAAGAATTAGAAATCCTTCTGCCTTCTGTGTTTTATTTTTTTCATGCATAAAACACACGATCATGTTACGTTATAACATTAGCACGTTACGCCACAGTAATGATGTACTTTTGTTATGGAAGTTATTTCTTTGTTCTAGAGGTGACTTGGTATAAACTCATGTTTCTACTTTTGTTAAGGAATATTTTGGATGCGATCTTTAACTATCAATGTTTTTTTTACTAAAACCTTATTGGTTTTCGGATTTTGGATACGGTCTCTAACTATCAATATTTTTTTTTATTGAAACCTTTATTGGTTTTCAGTTTTTTATTGAAGTCTCTAATATTAATGTAATAATGTATTTCTATGTAGCTTATTTTATTTTTTAAATTAAAATTTTAATTTGTAGTTGTTTATCTTTATGAGATTTTAAATATAACTCATAATTTGTGGAATTAAAAATACTAAAAGATAAATTATACTTTCTAATATATTGTACATATATATCGATATAAACATTGGTACATTCTTCGAAACCACAAAAAAAAAGAAAGATATTAGGCTTAGTAACATTAGTAAATTTCTTCAATTAAACTTGTCATGGATGCATTCTAAAGCAACGAAAAAGAATGTAGGCATACAAGTTTAAAAGGATTAGAAAAAAATTGAATGGATTTTATATATAAAAAAAAAATGGGTACATTTTATATTAAAAAATGGTACATTTTTACATATAACAAATTGGTATATTTAAGAATGAATACATTTAAGATTAAAAACCTCAAAAATTAAATGAATTGGTACATTTAAGATTAAAAACTTGAAAATCTTTTTACAAAAAATTAATGGCTACAAACTTATTTTAATTTAAATTTTTTTATTTTGGAAATGTTTTGAGTTGAAAATTAATTAGGAGTTTAATAAAGGTGTGAGTATTAAAAATCTAAATCAATTACTAATTTTTATTCTAAAAAATTATTTAACTGACATGTAAATTCATTAATATATATGCTAGGGACTTCGATCAAAATTTAAAAACTAATAAGATCTCGGTTAATGAATATTAATAATTAGAGACCAGATACTAATTTTTCTTTTTGTTAATATTCGTTTTTACTCTTAGGTTATTTCTAGCATGGCATTCCATGGAAAACGCGTTGGAAATGTCATCCCTTTACTTCATCATGCTTATAGAGAGGGATCCGTGATGCATTTCAATGGTGGTTATCAAATCATTATATCCCACAAACACGTTCTCAAGAGTTGACTTGTGAACTTTGACAGCTTCATCGATCTAAGAAGGAATTTAGTCACATTACTTGGCTCTCAGTGCCATCCTAGTACACAATTTCTGCAATTGGTTAATTATTATCCACATCCACTGTAGCTTAAGTTTTACTCTTTGCTTTAATGCTAACACGTTTCATTTCAGCGCTTTATAATTATATCAGGACATCAACATATCAAGATGCTAATTTCAACTACTTCATACTAATCAAACTAAATCATGATTTTTCTTCAGGTATTGTATTACTGATCGATGCTAACGTGAGACCCGCAAACTTTTTTATTCGGTATGTGTTAGTAAATCCATGAAAAGGAGAAATTTTTCATTGTGATTAGAACATGGGTGGTACACTAGTGTTTTAATACAAGTGGTGAGAAATTTTATTTTTTAAGTTATTAACTTTTTAACACACATATCTCATCATTTGTATAATAACATGTGGTATACCACTTCGTATTCTGGTCACACTGAAAAAACTTTCATGAAAAGTCAAAAAACATAATAACTTCAATAACTATATTCTAGCTAAGGTTCTAAAAATGCGCTAGTCGAGTGGTGGGTAAGGACTTAGCGTCTAGGCATCTAACCGGGGACGCATATAGACCCTTTTTTTTATTTTTAATTAAATTTATTATACAACATAAATAAATGTCTACTTATACTTAAAAAAAACACATAATTGTATTGGGATACATAAATTGCAAAGTAGAACGACATGTAGATTATAAAGTATTAGAACATATTAAAAACATGTGAAACAAGCATATAATGAGTGTTCATCTAAGTATTCAACAAGTCTCTTATAATTTATTGAAAAAATAAAATGCAAAATAAAAGTTATCTATTTTC